AGTGGCCCGCGCATCTACATTTTTTTGCCTGACCCCATCAGTGCCGACCCAACTACACCACCACGCGCATGCCTCGCGGCGGATATGCGCAGCAGCAAGAAGGTTTCGGTCATCCCTTGAGGGTGAGTCTAGCCCTGCTCGCCAGAAAGACCCCCCCCTTCACTACAACCCATGTCTAAGCAAAAGCTTGTCGAGGAGCGAGGGGAAGAAGGGTATTGTGTACCTGCACGTAGACTACGGACGGGCTGCGTCTTTGCTAGATTTTTGCATTTAGCAACTGACATACGGTTTAATGTGAAGACAACAACAACAGCAACAACGTAGAAGACCCCTAGTCGGTGTCGATGTTTACACTGCTGCTGTGTCTAACACAGATGATCTGGATAAATTCGGGTGATTGCCGATTGCAATGATGGCTTTGGTTGGTTATTCTTTCGTCATTGTGTATGTATGTCCACGGACGCATTATTCTGACAGCACTTCAGACAGCAGCAGCTGCATGCCCCGAGCTTTTGTGTACCATATGCTTTTACCATGGGTGTTATTATTGTACAGGCAGCACTTCAGACGCTAACAACATATTGGTGAAATTGACAGCGAAGCATGAAATTGAGAGCGAGAGCCAAAAAAATTAAAATTCGGGTCCAGACGCCTCTTGCCATTTCTTAGGGGGCGGGCTCTTCCAAGAAGCGGCGCAAATTGAAGGTCTCATCAGCAGCGTCACGAGCATAGACGATGTGTGTCATCGTCATCGGATGCTGCAGCTAGGAGCTAGACAAGTTGCTAGATTTGCCCAGATTGGCTATTTCTGCTCAAACTGTTTCAGGGCGGTATCGCGTCGGGCGGTGGGCTCTGCTGTAGCTTCTGCTCCCCGCTGTAGCTCCACAACGAGAGACTCCCACAGGATGACCAGGGTAGCGGCTTGAAGCTACGGGCTGGCCCTTCAATTCAAGCTACACAGCAAGCTCCACCTCTCAGCAGTAGTCCAGCTGCAGCACATTGCGCAATCTCGCTCTCAATCAGATGCTTCGCTCTCAATTTCACCAATATGCTGTTCGCTGTAGTAGCCGACATTCATTTTGGTAAAGTGCGGGACATGGGGGGTGATGCTGCTGCTGTCGTAGTGTTTTTTTTTTTTTTGCCTTCCGACAAGTGCACACGTATCGATCAGCAACGCCGCACAGACTTTTGCGCGCCGAAATATGCGTGCGACAGCTTTAGCCTAAAGGTGGAAAGCGGATTTCTGTTCGATAAGGTGTCAGGGGTACCAGGGAAGACGGGGCCGAGATTTGTTTGATTTCGGGTGG